TCGACTTCCGGATACTTTGATTGTTTTGACCTCCAATCTCGGAGCGTTGATGCTTGTTGCAGCAGACTCTTCCGTTGGGGAGGAGATTTCATCTGACATAAAGGCGGCTGTGATGTCCATTGTCCAGTCATCGTACCCTCCCGAATTTTTGAATAGGATCGACGAGTTCATCATTTTTAAGCGACTCTCAAAGCCTGCGCTTAGGGATATCGTAGACATTAGGTTACAGGAGCTTCAACAGAGGCTGGACGATCGAAGAATAACCTTGACGGTGGAGGATGGCGTTAAAGATTGGCTTTGCGACAAAGGCTACGACCCTCGATATGGAGCTCGCCCATTAAATAGACTCATTTCAAAAGAAATCGGCAACCGTCTGGCGGATAAAATAATCAGGGGTGAGGTTGTCACTAGTCAGGGGGTGAGCGTCATGTTCAATGCTGACAAGTCTGGACTTGACATCGTATCTACAAAAGCGACGTAACGGTTTGTGCATTGCATGTATTAATATTTCCGTCTTGTCTCCATTTAACTATTCGTTACCATTGGGATATTGAAAGCAGCACGCTTTTGGCGCAAAGTGGCATTTTGGTGAGCATTCTCTTTGTATCATATAACTTGTATGTATCATCACCTATCTTCCAAAATGCTGCACCTAAACCCCACTCAATCATTCCGGATGATATCTCTTCTTCCAAAGTGCGCATTGTCTTCCTAGCCGGACAGCCTGTGATATCAGTGCGATGTTCACGGGTTGGGTCCCAAGAGAAGTATTTTCCAAATTGGGATATTCAAACCCCCTTGCGGCTCCTTTGTCTTCACTCCACCAGCTTTCTCGTGCGTGGCACCACGTTAAGTTTTGTATCTTCCACCCAAATCATGGCTCCAACTTCCTCAACAAGGAAGAGAGGAGGCCTCCATTCCTTTCGTAGCAACCGGCAGCACGGGCAACGAAGGCGTAACCAACGACCCTTTAACTCCAATTCCAGCAGCAGACGTGACGGGATAGCATCGTCAGCGAGAGAATGCTCAGTTGTGGCGTATACCGAGAACTCGAATAGCGGAATATTAGACAGATTGAGCCAAATACAAGGCAATAGGGGCCAACAGGACCAGGATGATGAGAATGAAGAGCTGTGTCATGTTGTGATGGCTATAGACATGAAGGAGGCGGCCACTGTTGGTTGTTGTTATTATATTGCAGACGAGCAGAAGCTATATCTTCTCGAGGACATTACCTCTGGGGGCCTTGAGGCAATTGAGGCGTGTAAGTTTTGTCTTATGTCTTTTTGCAAAAAAGATACTCTGCAACCCGGAAAGATTGCCTTGCCTCTCTGACTAGCCTTTTTATTTGGATTCAATAGTAAAACTTGATGTTGAACCAACGCTTGTTCTCCTATCAACTAGGGCCGATCAAAACACAAGCAGTTTTGGACGAAATGGGCAAGATGGCCATGCGGCGGACAATGGTGAGTATTATTGTTCGCCTTGTTGCCACATTGCTAGACCGTCACTTACAATCTGCCCTTCAGATGACCAGTTCAAACTGCCTTATCACCTCGACGTCCGCCCAGTGCAGGAGTTTAATTTCGAGGGCGCAAAACTCAAACTTGCAAACCTTCGACCTGATACAAGTAGGGACGATACCCGATTCCTAGTGCCCGGTGATACTTTCTCGCCGAGCAGAAATGGAGACGAGAACGATTTAGGGTTTACTGATCATCAAGGAAAGCTACTACACCTTTCTGGCTCTATCGATATGGATAACCATATTTCTATCGGGTGCGCCGGCGCTCTCATAACCCACCTACAGAGAAAACTAGCAGCGGAATGCCTAGCAAGGGAGGGCGCTGGGGACAAGTTGTTGAACATTAAATCTGTTGAAATGAGGACTCTAAAGGATACAATGTAAGGCCATTTCTGTATATATAAATTGATATTAATCTTTCCATACTAATGTGCGTTGAAGGTTTGTTAATACCGATACGCTCACTTCACTCCAAATAATCCAATCGGAGTCTCATCCAAATGTATTCAACCAAGGACCTGGTAAGAACTCCCCTGGAGCCAAAGAGAGCCTGTCAATATATGGCCTATTCCACCATTTTGCTAGGACACCGCAAGGGAGGGCTCGTCTAAGGCAAAGGTTTCTCCGTCCCAGCACGGATGAAGCTCACATAAAGGAGGGACATGACTTTATCAGCACATACCTACGTCCCGATAACAGTGAGGCCATTGAAAAACTCACCAAGAGTTTGAAAGGGATCAAGAATTTGCGCCCAGTGATGGTCCATGTACAAAAGGGTATCAGTTCCGGAAATGCAAAGTTCAAAGCTTTCAAGAGTGGAGTTTGGGCAACGCTGTTGGAGGTCTGTACCTGGGAATCGTGGCATGTGGGTACGTGCAATCATTGCTAATCTAGAGTTTGCAGTTCGCTTTCCATGCTATCGATGTACACGAGACGATACGGACAGGTTTCAGGGATGGATAATTTGGATTTGCATTTGAAAGGTGAGAATTTTCAGGGCCATGTAAGAATTAGCTAAATTATTCCTAAATAGGCACTCGAGAAGCTAGACGTGACTGTCCTACACCAGGTGGAAGAATAATTCATGAAACGGTGAGAAGAACTTCTAGTATACACAGGGAGTAATGTCTTCCTTTCTGATCCGTAGCAGGTCGATTTACAAAAGCTCGATTGAAGAGCACCGGACTGTGGTTAAGCCGAGAGTGGACCCCGAGCTGGACGATCTGAAAGAGACGTATAATGGCTTAGACAGCTTGCTCAACCAAGTAGCCATAAATATTGCTGGTACTATCCCCAGTAGGCTTAGTAACGATGTTAACGTCATTTACTTTCCCCAACTTGGGTTCAACATTGCTATGCCATTGGATGAAAGAGGTCGCCCTGTTTACGATGGCGGAGAGAAACCGTGGGAACAGGTATTTACCACAGAAAACAGAGTATATTTCAAGGATTTCCGTATGCGAGAGATGGATGAGAGATTTGGAGACATCTATGGCCTTATTTGTGGTAAAAATCCCCGAAGCTGGAGTCTCTATCAAATTCTTATCAGGTCTCAGAAAAGGAAATTGAAATTGTGTACGAGATGGCGCAAAATATACTTCAGCACGAAAAGATGCTTGTGGAGGCTTCTGATATATGTGGAGAAATAGACAGGTATGCCTCAGTACTGCACTTTCCGGCATTATCTGACAAATTACCAGCCTTCTGGCTCTTGCGCAGGGGGCTAGTTTATACAAGCTTGTACGACCGCAGATGATGCAACACAACAGTATCGTAATTAAGGGTGGACGGTGAATGCAATGGCTTAGCTCTTTAGTGATTTATACAGCAACTGACTCAATATAGACATCTTTTGCACGAAGTTACCGTTCCTACGTTTATCCCAAACGATACTTTAATTGTCGGCGGAAATGGAAGGGAAAGATCCCCTCCAAACACATCGTCTCTATCACTAGACACTTCAGTTGGGGTTGCTGACACTGAGGGACCGAGCATGATACTACTGACTGGACCCAATTACTCCGGCAAAAGTGTTTATCTGAAACAGGTTTGCTCCTATATCAAGCAACATGATATATGAATTGAGCTCATAGTTCGCATATAGGTAGCCTTGATTGTCTACATGGCCCACATCGGGAGGTAATACGCAGCCCTGAGCCTCCTATCTCAATCTTTTCATAACTAACCTCGATGTAAAGTTTTGTCCCTGCGGAAACTGCCAAAATTGGCATCACGGATAAAATATTAACACGAATTTCAACAAGAGAAACTGTTTCCAAGGCAAGATCTTATATTTGGAGGAACATAATTTCTCAATATGCTCATTTCAAATAGGCCCAAAGCTCCTTTATGATTGACCTACAGCAGGTATCCTTCGCGTTAGTCCTTGCAACAGAACGCAGCCTGGTGATAATCGATGAATTTGGCAAGGGAACGGAATCAACTGGTTTGCCTCGTCCTAACTCTTGTTTGCTTTGGGCACTCTATTAGAAAGCTATGTCTAATATAATGCGCTATACGGAGTAGATGGTGCAGGTCTCGCTTGCGGGCTGTTCGAATATTTACTCAGTCAAGGTGAGAAGAGGCCAAAGGTACTTGCCGCAACGCACTTCCATGAGATATTCGAGAACGGGTTTCTACCCCCAAGGAAAGAGCTTGGTTTTGGGTATATGGAGGTGCAAATAGATCCGGCTGCGAGAGACATGGAGAATGAGGTCACCTATCTATACAAGTTGCGTACCCCTCCCCTGTATTATTAGTATTATTTTAATAGTTAGCGTCGAAAGGTGGCATCAATCACTAATACAGCTATGCAACCTAGTTTCCGATGTGGACGGAGCAATGCGAGTTTTGGGACAAAGTAAGTTTGTCTTCAAATTAAGTATCCGAACTCGTTGGTTAATCCCTCTACTCCCCCTGGTTTTTCTAACGGAAATCTCACCAGCTGTGCGCTGTTAAGTGGCATCGATCCAGCCATAATCTCGAGAGCAAACGAGATTGGCACCCTCGCTGCCCGCGGTGAAGACCTGGTCGTCATTTGCGCAAAGATGTCTGTGGACGAAATAGAGGAGCTTGGAGAAGCGGTAAGCGACTATCCAAAATTGTTTTTGGGCACGGGGTTTTCCCGTTGATGCTAAATATAGATTCTATACAGGAGAGTATGGCCAGGAGGTTCCTTGGAGCGGATTTTTCACGTCAACCTAATAATTCCGGTGTCGATAGTGGGAATAACAATGAACGACCAGAAGTTTTACTAGAAAATATCATTAGTAAGGGTTATGACAACACGGTAGTAATAGGATGAGGCTGGGAGGGCTGGAGAATGAAGTGTGTGATTCCCTTTGCAGCCACCGTCCTGTGGATACGGTATCGATATTTCTGCCATTCTACTAGGGGGTTCAAATACACTCATACATTACAGCCAAACTTTGGCTGAGAATTTACAGCAGAGTGATATAACTGACTACGGCGATGTATTTTATTTCTAGAGTCAGCCCAGAGTTACAACATAATTAACTAAAAGTGCATTTCCAAATTTCAGCAGAGACTCAGTCTATAACATCATCGTACTCAAAGTTGGTGGTATATTGTTTTATCTATCCAGTAGTACAAACAGAGGAGCCCATATGAAAACCTACAACACCAACCCTTCATCTATGAGGAAAAACCAATCATCCCTCGTTGATTTGACATAAAATTATAATTTCACACTCCTAACCAAGTTGGTCTTGATACCAGTAAGCTCCCCACCATACCCACCACGCTTTTCACCACCTCTATAAACCTGACGAATACTGCCCAACTTTTTCTTCTTCTCCTCGTATTTCTTCTTCTTCTTAACCCTTGGATTCCGCACATCCTTACTCCGCCTCGGCGTCAACCCTTTATTCTTCGCGATCGCATAGGTAATGGCCCGTTTGCCATCTTCACCGATGCCCCCCTCGACCTCAACCCGCACTCTTTCCCGCGCAGCCGCAGCATGCTCGTCAGCAAGTTTGTTCTTATCTGCCTTTTTCTGCTTTGACCGTGCAGCAACCATATCATAGTAGTCGTCTGAATCCGAGTCCACGTTGCTCTTATTATTGTTATTATTATTATTGCTGTCTCCTCGTACCTCGCTCGCAAGACGACGATCCTCATCCTCGCTATCTCCGCCAAGCGCGTGGAGATCATCCGGCGTGCGTTGACCCCTCTTCTCAGCCTGGGCGTTGAGGCGGGCTTGACGGTCCTTCAGCCGCTCCCGGTATGGTAAGTCTGTATCACCGCCAGCATCACGGCCAGCAGCACCGCGTTTGTTGGATTTCTGTGCGATTTGCGAGGTATAGAAGCGTAGGGATTTTTTCTTCTTGGCTTTTTCTTCAGCTTCGAGGGTGTCGAGGGCCGCTTCGTCGCCGAAGTCCGAATCGTCGTCCTTTGATGTGGATTTTTTAGTATGCTTGGATGTTCTTTTAGTTGATTGGGCATTAAGTAAAGTTGAAAGGTAGGCCAACTCAGCCTCAGTCTGGCGTAGTTTCTCAGCTCGTTTCTTTTCTGAGAGTGCTTTGGCATCTTCCGCGGCTTTCTGGGCTTTGGTTCTTTTAGATTTGGACACCGGTGCGGGTTCGACGGGGTTCTCATTCACCCCAGCGATTTTCGTGGCTGGTGCTGATAGAGATGATGTTTGGTCGTTATCAATGCTATAATATGATTCCACTTCAGAATCCACAATTTCTTGTGCATCCTTCGCTTCCTCCCATTGCTTCTTGCAGTTGATTAGGGTTTCCATGATTGGATGTTCTCTTAGCTCAGCAGGGGACATTGCGAGACGCGTTTCTCCATCTCTTGAAGGGGATGTCAGGAGAAAGAAGTACATGCTGATAGCACCTAGATAGGCAGACAGAGTACGGAATTTAATCACTGGTAGCGGAACATGGTCACCACCCGCTTGATGTGACAAACCTCTGCCATTCACCGAATTCTCTGCATTTTGTGCTGCAACAGCAAATTCCTCATGCAGGTGTTGAAGAGAGAGAAAGTCTTTCGAAAGAGGTTCGAATTCAGGGTATCGTTGCTTCACAATCTTCCGTCGTTCGTCGACGCTCATATCGTCTGTCACTTGCAGCTCAGGTAAAGCCTCTATGACGACATTGTTCTCGCCTTCTCGGCCACGTTCACCATCATTGACCGCGGTGGCCCATTCGCTCTCATCGAATCCAAAATCCGCTTCATTCATCGCTTGTAGTCGCTGTTGTTGGATCTTTTTGGCTTCAGCTTCCTCCTCAAATGCGTCTGCCTCTGTTTCGATAATGTCGGCATCGTAGTAATCTTTCTTCGAAGAACCCCATCCTTTCATGCCTTCATCCTCTTCTCCCTTACCCTCCTCCTCGTCGTCATCATCAACCAGAGTGGCAGCATTGAAGGGACGTAGCTTCTTCAGTGTAGATAGTCCGGAATCACCATCCTTCTCTTCCTCGACATCAACATCGTCATCGTCAAAACCTTCGTCGTCTGTAGATTCGGATTGATACCCAAGCACTTCTTCATCGGAGAGTACGAAAAATTCCTCTATGAACACCATGTTAATAAATATGGAAGAATCGGTCATCAGCGAAAGAGGGGGGTTTAATTATTTACCTTGCTCTGATAATTTACGCCTCCTCTTTGCCTCGGGGGCTTCTTCCAAGAGAATGCGATCCCGACTCTGTTCGAATTCATCCTCCGAATCGGCGAACCTGGAATCCGCTTCAAATCTGGAGGTTTGATCCGGACCGCTCTGCTTCGCGGATGAGAGCTTGCCGGCTTTTCTTTTCTTGCCCATTGGTGCAAGGGCTGCCTGTGATGGCCAGCAGATACGTGGTCGAATGCGCCAGTAAGCTGCTGCTGGAATTGGCGACTCCCCGAAGATTTCCTCTTTTGCATGGTCAAATTTAAAAAAATGGACTTCGGGATATCTTGGCACGAACTCCGACTCAATAACCACGCTAGTCTCGATTTGGGACATGATTTAAACTCTTTGGGCAGGGATTTCTCCATCTCCTGACGAACCCTGGCACCGGATTTGTACCTAGGCAGACGTGAGAGTGCGAATGGAGAGAAAGCCTCTGCTCCAATCGCATTACACGACGAATTGTATCACTTAATTGGGATCGCTGTCGGAAAAATCGCTACGAAGAATAAATACTAGAAACAGGCAGGCCAAGCACTTTTTTACATAGAACGGCGTATCTCATGGGCATGTATCTTTACTATATATATTAACAAACATTGCTCGTTTGTTAACATTAACATTTCTTGCGTTGCAGGTAGAAATAAGCAGTTGGATATTGAACGTGGTGGGAAGAACCTACGCCTCCCAGAACGCCCTTTCCTCGTCGTGCGTCGTCGTCCGATTCCTTCTCCGCAATGCCGGATTTACGCGCCACTCTACTATCCCTCTCCCCAGTGGGCTCTGATGTTTCGTTGTCAAAACCCCAGCTAGTCGCTGCAGTCATTCTTTTGTTAGTATCCCTATGCTTAGCCGTCAGCATGCGTAACTTCTACAAGACCACAAATGAGTTCGTTGTGGAGAGGAAGGTCTGTATTTGGATCGAATTTCGTCAATCTTCTCGTTTGCTTTGTTCCCAGTAGCTGACGCTGATGGCACATGTAGATGGTGGTTGTTACCGGTGGTTCGGATGGCATGGGCAAAAGTGTCGCTATGGAGTTAGCCAAAAAAGGGGCCAGTGTAACAATCGTCGGCCGCGATGTGAGCAAGTTACAAGCTGTCTATGAAGCCATGAAGGTAGGCTCGTTCATGCTTGATACATTATCATTGTCTCCGAAAAGACAGTATTGGTGACGCGAAAACCAATGGTTAGACATTCGCTCCTCCCACGTGCGACCAGAAATTTCACTGGATCAAAGCCGATTTGACCGACCCCAAGGAATCTGAACGTGTCATGGACGAAGTTACCGAGTTCAACGACGGAGTGTATCCCGATATTGTCTGGTGCTGCGTTGGACAGTGTTTGCCTGGGTTTTTCCTCCATTCTTCTCTTGAGACCTTGAGAGCACAGATGGACACCAATTTTTGGACCTCAGCATATACTGCAAGGGCTATTATGAAGCGATGGCTAGCTCCGGCCTCTACTGCTCAATCTCCGGAACAGCCACCTCGTCGTCATTTGATCTTTACTAGCTCCGCTGCTTGCTTTGTCCCGGTGGCTGGGTACGCGCCATACGCGCCAGCAAAAGCAGCCCTACGCGCCCTCGCGGATGCCTTGACTTCTGAGATCGAGATTTATAATGGCTCCCGAAGAAACCCGTCCCTCAACGCCCCTGCTGCGGATGTGAGAACCCATATCGTTTTCCCGATGGGAATTTTGAGCCCTGGATTTGTCCATGAACAAAGAATGAAGCCTGCCGTGACGAAACACCTTGAAGAGTCTGACAAGCCACAAACACCAGACGAAGTTGCCACGATTTCTATCAGGGGGCTCGAAAGAGGCCAATACATGATTACAACAATGGCGGTAGGCACGATCATGAAAGCAAATTCAATGGGGGGTAGTTATAGGAACAACGTCATTTTCGACACTTTAACCACCTGGATGAGCAGTCTTATTTTCCTTCAGGTTGTCCCGGACTTGAGAGGGAGGGCCTTCCGATGGGGCCGAGTAAACGGCATTCCCAAGAAAGGAGAAGACAATAGCTTGGCACCTCAACCCGTGATGGGAGACTGTATCGACGGGGAATAAAAGTGATAGAACTCTGCAGCACTTGCCCTATGCATAACATCCTCTTTTCCTATTACATACTAGCACGCCATTTCCTATGCATCAATAATAACAATTCCTTCGTTTTTAACTTCTGCCATTAATGTTCCTTGTGAATAATTATCTGTTTGTTGCGGAGTTATGGGATACGGTCCTCTGCTTTCTCACTTACCTCTATAAAATAATTCTTCTATGAGAAAATGCATATGATACAACAGGGTCATATGCAAGGAAGTCAATTTCGTCACCATCAGATGACACCGAGCCCTAATATTGAAAAGAATACTAGTAAGCTTTCTACTCTTTCATCCTATTAGACCACGATACTGGAGTTCAGTGAGAAGATCTTGATGCTAATGCTTGTCAGGCAACCCACGTTCGGGCGTACACTTGAACGTGGTTCAAAAAAGCTTGAGCGTGGTTCAAACCCATATGGTTCATAAAGTCACTAAAACACCACCTAGATGATCATTAATCATTCTCTAGGAGGGATTTTTCGAATTTTCTCGTGCTCTAACCCCCTAACTAACCCCCTTACTTACCCACGTAACCTTCTAACCCCTAATCTAATCCCTAACCCACCCCTAATTCGTGTTGGAGTGGTAATTAAATTACATGAATCAGAGTTGAACATGGGTTAAAATTTGAACCATGTTCGACTGCACCCCAGCACCGGGCTCGGTTCCCGGGAGTCGGGATAGCCATGATGCTTTAATCCCTGAACTTTAATCATTGCCAGAGCTCAAAACATAGTCCGCATCGATTCATTTTCACAATATTCCTAATGCCACTCTTGATCTTCTTACCACTCTGAACAAAGGATGATGGATTAGTTAGGTCAGGTTTGTTGAAGGTTAGGTATGAGGATTAGGATTGAGGTTTGATTCAAGAGCTCGGGTATGAGAAAACACACATTCTGATGGAGGTGAAAGATTGGTTCATTGTAACTAACTAGCGGAGCACTGCTTAAATAGGTGTGGTCACCAGCACATTCAGCCTATCGACTTTTCCAAGGCTCTGTGCAATTTGGGACTCCTGTTCAACTCTGATCCTGCCATGGCTCAAGGTTGAAGCCCCACCAAGGGCTATTCCCGGCCGAAAATCCAAGCCCTATTCAGCTTTTTTGATGCCTATTCCACTATACGCCGGCCGCGCGAACACGGAAAATATTTAACATCCTCTTCTACAGCGTAATCATACCTATGAAGGAACCTCATACGACGCTAATTCCCCCCTCTGAATCTGTTCGAAGACACTTTTGTCAGGGGCTTGATGGCAGCTGCCGGGGCGATCCGTCGGACTAAAACGCCACCGAACTCCACAGTATCCAAATGCTAAGCCGTATAAGGAAGTCCACGCGGACCTCAGAGCTTTGGGTCAGTATATAAAGTAGTTCACTCAAAACCCTAAAATGGACATTTTTAGCATCAACATTTATTTTCTCCAATAAATCAAGAAGACAATGATTTTGTTTTATTAATTTCATGGAAAAAATAACTTTTCCCTATGCTCTCTACTCCAATCTACTCCATAAAAACCTTTAGAAAGGGTAGATGAAAATACTAGTATTGCATAAAAGGATTGATCTTTATAGTACTACTATCTAGTATCTTTTTCTATGTGTCTTTACTCCGTACAAAGATACCTGTTTCGATAAATATAGTTCTTCTATTTTTAGTAAACAGAGGCACGAGTAGGTTATGTCTACTCCATTTAATACCTTTCTTTAAATTTCGAACCAACTTCTTCTATTACCCAAGTCTAATATCCATATCTATTAAATATCTACCCCAAACACACTGTGTGGAGCTGGATGGTTGAGCTTCAAATGTAGTTGGGTGGCCAAAGAGGGACGATCTACGACCCAACCTGGAACGGAGAGCACTTACAGGACTCCTAGTCAACCCCGTCTACTTCAACTTCAAACCCCTCCTCATCTTTTGCGCTTGATGCAAACTTGAGCTCAATTACTGCCGTCCAGAGTTCGTAGTTACATCCCAAATAAAAATGAAGCTGCTCATCATCTTCAGCTTTGTTACTCTTACCGCTTGGGCCTTGCATCCCCTCCCCCCGCAGGACCAAGGGGACCAAACAGTCATTACAGTCAACGAATTAGCTGAAGGCACCAATGACGACAACTTCTACGGTACCAACCCCGTGGATGGATGCTGGGAGACCCTCGACTGCTCCCTAACCGAAATCGAAGCCATGTCTATGCCCAGCCGGCTCGAATTTGTCAAGTACATGAGCACCTGGCGCTTGGATGTGTTGCAGTCTTCGGATCAATTCCACATCTTTGAAGCGACCATCGCCTTCTTCATGAGGAAGGATATCGGTACCCCGGGTTCGTGGTTGTCACTTGTGCATGCTGCGTGTGTCGAGGCGTTGCAGAGGGGCGCGGCCATGTCTCTGGGCATTTCAAATAATCCCGCTGGGAATCCTGCGAGTGAGAAGTGGGCAGACTTTTTCGATCAAAGGAAGCATGGGAGGCTTACGGATCGGAGTGTATGATTGCCCTTCCCGCTCCCCCCGCTTGATCGTCTAGTTTCCGGGGGTTTCATATATCGCAAATCAAGGAAGACTGCTAACAATGGTATCTATCTCTCCCTCACGGTTTGTCGTGAGTAGGCCCACGACTTATCTTGGGCGATTGCAGAACAAACTGCTGTTGACTATGGCATTCGCCGCGCTGACTCATCGCCTTATGTCGACAAGCCCTCTCCGCGCATTCTACGCTGGATGCAATTCTCGCGCATATACAGAGCAGCCATGCAGTACCG